TAGAGAGAGCTATTATGATTTCAACTGCAGCCTGTCTCCAGCCATGTCTGTGGGATTTGCCATTGGACTTCCCAGTTAATGAGCCCATACATTATTTTTTGCTCAGGCTGAATTGAATTGGGCTTCTTTCAGGAACCCTGGATAATACACACTTGAGATACAACATCTCCAAACACAAAATCCCTCCTTCCTCCCCTGGCACACCTGCCCTCTCCAGACTTCCCTGCCTTCAGAGACCTAATCACCACTCACTCAGGTACTGCCATTGAGTCACTGCCATCACCCTGGTTTAGACTCGCATCACTTTTTACCTGGATTGTTGCAACAGCTTCCTTCCTGGTCTCCCCACCTCCAGGCTTGTCTACTCCATGCCCCAAAACAGCCAGATAGTCAGACAGACACACACACACAGCGCTGCCAAAATCTTTCTGGTCATGATCCTCTCTGCTCTTCTAGGGTAATTTAGGAGGCTGCCTGACATCTGGCTCCTCCTACCTGTTGAACTTCGCCTGGCGCCCCATTCTCCCCACACTCCAACCTGAGAATCACCGGTAGCTACCACTCTCCTCTCTACGCTAATGCACAGCTACCTTTAGGGGTTCCTTATCCTTTCTGTGTCATGGGGCCTGGGGCGGTCTGGGGTCCCATCTCACAATAATGTTTTGCAATTCATAGAATACTGGACATGGTGGCTCATACCTGTAATCCCAGTACTTTGAGAGGTCAAGGCAGGAGAATTGCTTGAGGCCAGGGCTTGAGATCAGCTTGGGCAACATAGCAAGAGTCTGTCTCTACAAAAAGAATTTTTAAAAATTAGCTGAGTATTGCCGTGGACCTGTAGTCCCAGTTACTTGGGAGGCTGAGGTGTGAGGATCATTGAACCAAGGAGGTCAAGGCTACTGTAATGAGCTATGATTGGCCACTGCACTCCAGTCTGGGCAACAGAGTGAGATCCTGTCTAAAAAAAAAAAAGAGAAAGAGAAAATCATAGAATAGAATACATAGGATTACAATGAAATTATAATTGTTGATATACAGCTATCAAAATATTTAAATAAATTTAAATATGGTAATGCATGCACTTCTTTATTAGCACAGTAAATAGATAGTGGTGGGCCTAATAATTATTGTAATTTTGAAGCAGTAAAAAGTATGAATGAATGAAATTGCAAGTCATTTGCCACAACTGTAATGTGACATGAATATCCATGACTCCTGATGGTGACAAAGTCCCCAGGAAGGGCTAATACTGTTTGGATTTGTTGCCTGCATTCATAGTGAAAAGAACTACTACATTTCAGGCACAGGTTGGCGACAATGGAGATGTAACTTTTTTCCTTTCTAAGTTCATGGATCCCCTCCCCCCCAGAAATCTATCCATGGACCTACCCCCCTCACAGAAATCTATCCATGGACCTCCCCATTAAGCACCACTGGGCTCTAGAATAATCTCCTGATCTTTGGCTCTTTGAGAATCAGTTTAATGTCAGCACCTTCGGGAAGCCTTCTCTGACTCTCTTCTCACCAGGTGGGGGCCCCTCCTTTGCACCCCCTAGGTCCCTCAAGCCTCCCTTTCTCCCATAGCAAGTCACACATAACTCCATGCACTTGTCTGTCTCCTGGCTGGGGACGTCTCACTGAGATCTGTGCAGGTGCCAGCTGCCTTGTCCAAACAGGCACGGCCTTGGTCTGCATCCAGGCTACTCCTCAAAGCCAGGCTGTGAAGGGCAGGGAGAGGCCTACAGAGCTGTGGGACCATGGAATTCAGTATGACAGCAACCTGTGACACTCTGTTAATGATGAACTGAAACTGATTTCTCGCTCATTCTTTCAGCTGAGGATGGGCAGCCATGAAGAGCTAGGCTTTTATTTCTGACCAGATCTGTGTTTGTATCCATCCCTGTCTCTTTCCACCTGTGTATCTCGGGCAACTCCCTTGGCCTCTCATCTCAGAACTTCGGGTCCTTCACCTGTGAACTGGGGTCGATAACAGTAACCAACTTGCAGGATTCCTGTAGGAATTAAACAAGAGCGAGCGTGAAGTGCTCAGCACTTGATCATAGTAAGCACTTCACTGGAGAGTCGAAACCATCCACGGTAGTTGAAAGCCCTAGTCCAGGGGAGAGGCAAGTATATGGAATTATGCGTGACCTGTGGTGTGATAAAGGAAGGCTCAGGGGACTTCGGAGGTGCAGAGGAGGAGAGGCCTCAACTAGTGTGATGGGGGTCAGAGGAGGCTTCCCGGAGGAGCTGCCATTAAGCTGAGTCCGAAAGAGCCAAAGATGGGGAGATTATTCCAGACCCCAGTGCTGCTTAATTGGGAGGTCCGTGGTTAGATTTGGAATGGGGGACTGTTTACTCCTTCAAGTGGACTGTTTACTCATTCAACAAGCATTTATGAAGCACCTATTTTGCCAGGTGTTTTGCTACAAGTAAAGCATTTCATAATACTAGCAGCAGGTTCTATTATCCCAAATTTAAATAATCTCTTACCTTGGGGAGGGGTGCTTAGTATTCTCAGACAATTTCAGGACTTTAAGGGATTAAGGTTCCAAAAACCCTAGGGGCTTTCCTCCAAGATCAGGCCTTATGAAGCAGCAGGATGCAAGCCTGGAGGAGAGACTCAAGTTTAAGCTGTCTGGATTTGAATCCCTGCTCCTGGAAGCCATTATGCATACACCCTGCACAAGTGACTTCATCATATACACTCTGGGCAAGTGACTCCATCTTTTTTTTTGAGTTGGAGTCTCACTTTGTCGCCCAACTGGAGTGCAGTGGCCGCTCCCGGCCACCGCAGCCTGGACCTGCTGGGCTCGAGCGATCCTTCTGCCTTAGCCTTTCCAAGTAGCTGGAACTACAGGCGCGCACTACCACACCCGGCTATTTTTTTTTTTTTTTATTGTAGAGATGAGGTCTCGCCAAGTTGCCCAGGCGGGTGTTGAACCCGCGGGCTCAGGCAATCCACTCACCTCAGCCTTCCATGGCGCGGGATTACAGGCTGAGCCACCAAGCCCAGCGATTTAATCTTTTTAAAATTTTTATTTATTTGTTTACTTACTTTTAGAGAGACATGAAGTCTTGCTACTCTGCCTAGGCTGATCTTGAACTCCCGGGCTCAAGTGATCCTGCCGCCTCAGCTTCCCAAAGATCTGGGATCACAAGCATGAACCACCATGCCTGGCCAGTGACTTCACCTCTTTATGCTCCTTTTTCTCATCTAAAAGGTGGGATGGTAACAGTGCCTATCTCATGGTAATAAGAGAATTAAGAGACCAAATTTGTGCATAGGGCTGAAAACAGTGCCTGACACACAGACTTCCAAAAGGGTTAGCTATTACACCTAGCAAACTCCTCCCCTCCCTGCAGTTCCCCCAGGGAGCACCCATTCTTGTAGGCATCCCTCCCCTGTGAGGCCCACTCCCCACCAAGCATGCCATCGCAGCACATGCTAGAGACAGATTGTGGATTAACACTACAAAGTGGTTAGGAGAGAAGACATGTGACTTCAAAGGCCAGTGCCTCCTGTCACCAGCTGGCAGGCCTTGGTAGAGTGGCTTTACCTTTCTGTGACTTGTCTCCTTATCTGTAAATTGGGGATCATCACAGCGCCTCCCTCAGAAAGGGGTGTCAATAACACCAACAAAAACAGGGAGCGCCCACTCTGGTCAGACTGTGCTTGTTGTCTAAGTGATCAAGGGACCCCAGGATGAAATTAAATGACGCTTGTGAAGTGTTGAGCTCATGCCTGCCGAATTATAAACGCTCAGCCCGTGTTACACACTATATGCTACACATTAAATATATTGTACTCAACAATATATATGTCTGCTAGATTTCCACGCATAATATATTGCGTTTTTTTTTTATTACCTCCACATTCATTTTCTCATTTATTGCCACAAAACAGCCCTGGAAGATAGGCAGGCCAGAGATTTTATCCATTTTTACTGATAAAAAGATAGAGACGCTGGAAGGTTAAAATTAAAAGACTGATCAACTGGTGACCAGCCACAGGAGATGGCTGGGCATTTTAAAGAGAGAACCAGCGGAGGGCAATGTTCTACTTCGAATCCCTCAGTGGAGAGCCAGAGCGCGCTCTGTGGCCTTGGGAGGGGAGGTCTGGGGCTGGGAGGCCTGGGGCTGGGAGGCCTTCGCGTCCAGGGCGCCCCCGCCACGCTGACAGGCGGGAGCAGGCGGTGGACACGCCCGGGGGCGCACGCTCGCTGG